TAAAAAATAAATTATTTTCAGAAATAAATGTAATAAAAGAATAGTATTTATTAATAACAAGAATTACTTTTTATTTTTAGATTTTCACTTTTCATTTTAAATTAAAGTTAATATATACTGATATATATATATATAATGTATATAATAGAAATAATTATTTAAGGCTTCATTTTCTTTATATGAAAAATAACATTAATTTTCTTTTGATTTTGGGGTGAAATACAAGCTGTTTTCAGGAGATTCGCCCAAATCCAGGATTCATAAACCAGCTGTCTGAATGTAATCTCAGACAGACGTCTGTCCTCTAAAACACGCGTCAAACATATTTTAATGCTCACGAGAGCGAGAACTGAACTGTGCAAAACATCCTGCAAGCGCCTGACATGAAATGATGCTACATCCTGCGTTTCGTAACATCCATGAAGTGAGCGGAGAACCACTGCAAACAGACCGTGAACGCTATAAAGCGTCTCCCGAGTGTTCCCCAGTCGGCCGTTAATGCCCATGTGTGTGTGGGGTGAAATAGAAGCTGTTTTCAGGAGATTCGCCCAAATCCAGGATTCATAAACCAGCTGTCTGAATGTAATCTCAGACAGACGTCTGTCCTCTAAAACACGCGTCAAACATATTTTAATGCTCACGAGAGCGAGAACTGAACTGTGCAAAACATCCTGCAAGCGCCTGACATGAAATGATGCTACATCCTGCGTTTCGTAACATCCATGAAGTGAGCGGAGAACCACTGCAAACAGACCGTGAACGCTATAAAGCGTCTCCCGAGTGTTCCCCAGTCGGCCGTTAATGCCCATGTGTGTGTCCAGACTCGTCCTCCAGCTGCAGCTCAAGCCAGGACAAGCTCTGCGCTCATGTCTGACGGCACGTCGGGCTTCCAGACCGGCTCCTCGTAGTCCAGGTCCAGGTTCTTGTGTTGGGTTATCCAGTGATACGGGCCGCGAGAGTCTCTCCGGGCCTTCCGTCGCAGACGCCGCTGCTGCAGTAAGAGCCGCAGCTGCTCCACCTTACAGCGCATGGCCTTATTCTCCGTCTGCCGCAGACGCTCTCCTGACAGAGACACAGAGATAACATACATAAACCTTTGCCTTCTCTTTCCTGAAGCCCTCTGTCTGGCTAATGTCGGAAACTTTGTATTACGAGCACTTCCTGTGTTTATTTGCCCTTCTTATGATGAAGCGCTTCTTGTATTCCTCAATTTAGCATCTGCTACATGAATAAATGTAAATGTAATAACATCAGAGCACACTTATAGACTGGAACAGACCAGTGAGATCAGGAGCCGTGTTAATATTACTAAAACCAGACTAAAAACTTTAAATAAAACATTTTAAAATTACTTCAGCAACATTTCTCATTTCCATTTAGTTAGCCAAAACAGAAACTGAAACAAAAAATAAAAGACATGTTAGAAAAACTAATTTAAAAAACGCAAAAAATTACTTATATTTCAAACAATTCAATTTATAATTAATTCTATAATAATTTAGAATAATTATTTTCAATAAATGAAAGTTTATAAAAATGGTATATTTTTAATACATTTAATAAATCATATTATAGTTTATTAATATTTAGAATTAGTTTATTTTATATAACGTATATACATTTATATATAAATTAATTTGCGTTTGTAAAAATACATAAATTGAATATTTTATATAAAAATAAAAAATACGATATTCTTTTTTTAATATATTCTTAAATTTTTTTAAATAATTATAGTTTACTAAAAAAAAAAAATAGTACATTTTATAATAAATTATATTTTTTAATATTTAGAATTAGTTTATATATTTAAATCAAAATAAAATATAAAAATAAAATACACTTTATATACACAAATAAAAACATTCTAAATGCAAAAAAACAACAACCCTATACTAGTATCTCAGCGATACTAAAATAACACCGGTGTGTATCCAGAGGAAGAGGAGCTGATGAAACACTTTCACAACAAACATCAGATCAGCCGCGAGTGGAAATCTCACAGTGAGTCTCATGAAACGCATCCGGACCACAGTAAAACACAGCATCCAGACACACAACAGTGCTGAGAATTAAACTTGAGTAATGTCCCAATGATCCGAAAAACAGGCCGCGTGTTCACGAGATTCCCGTGTAAACCTGCACTTCCTCCAGGAGTCCAGATCTCTTCTTTCCAGAGCTGCTGACCCATGAATCATTGATGCTTCATCAGCATGTTTCCACTGCACACACACACACACACACACACACACACACACAGTGCTGCGGGGCTCCTGGAGGCCCCTGAGGGCCCGAGTGTGCCTGAGCAAAGCTGAATAATTCATGCAGCCTGTGTGCTGGAAAGACGCGAGTCGAGATAAGAGTGTGTGTGCGTGTGTGTGTGAGAGTCATGACCCCCTGAAAGCACAGAGCTCGGCGTGACCCCGCGGCTGACCTCTGAGAGGTCACGTCTCATTCAGAGCTCAGACAGGAGAAGACATGAGAAACAAAACAGAGGCCGAACCGCGGTAAAATGACATTAGAACATGCCATTTCAGTGAGATAATCCACTCAATCAGCACTGAATGAAGCATTAACGGTTATTGTCCTGTTTATCACGGAGAAGCAGCTGAACAATCTGTGCTGCAGACATAAATGTGACTTGACTTTAGGATTCTCCTTTCTATTAACATTAAGAATTTAAAAACAATGATCACAAACAAACATTCTTCTAGTTCATCAGCGTTACAGATGCATGAATATGTAATTATTCACAGCGGCTCGTCCAATTAGATTTCAGAGGCGTGTCTGAGCTTTGATGAAGCAGTGTGTGTTTGCAGTAAATCTGATCAGTGTTGCCAATTTAGCTGCTTTGTAGCTAGATTTAGCGACTTCCCCGCCCCTTTTGAGACTTTTTTCAAAAGTTTAGGGACAAATATAGCAAC